CTGTATCATCTGCAAACTTTACAATGTGACAGCCTGGATGGGTAGCTGCACAATCATATGTGAGCAGAGTAAACAGGAGGGGGCTCAACACACATCCCTGAGGAGAGCCAGTGCTGAGGGTTATGGTGGAGGAGGAGAGGTTGTGGATCCTCACTAACTGTGGTCTGTTTGTTAAAAAGTCTAGTACCCAGTTGCAGATGGAGGGGCTTAGTCCTAGTGTGGATAGTTTGTCCATCAGGGTTTGGGGGATCATGGTGTTGAAGGCGGATGTGAAGTCCACAAAGAGCATACGGACGTAAGAGTTTTTCTGCTCCAGGTGGTTGAGTGCAGTGTGGACCACAGAGGAGATTGCATCCTCTGTTGATCGGTTCTCACGGTATGCGTACTGATGAGGGTCCTCGTTGATGTTGATGGTTGTTTTGATGTGAGTCATGACCAGTTTTTCGAAGCATTTAGCGACTATCGGGGTGAGGGCCACTGGCTGATAGTCATTCAGACCAGTCACTGTAGAGCTTTTTGGGACTGGGATGATGGTGGCAGTCTTCAGGCAGGTGGGAACTGTCTCCAGGGTAAGTGAGGTGTTAAAGATGTCTGCCAGCACCTCACAGAGCTGATCAGCACATTCCTTCAACACTTTTCCGGGGATGTTGTCTGGGCCAGTTGCTTTGTGCGGATTAATCCTCCTGAAGGTACTCCTTACTTCTGCTGAGGTCACGCTGAGATGCTCTTCATCCGGTGGTGAGGTGAGTCTGGTGCTGGGTGGTCTGTTCGGGTCTTCAAAGCGTGCATAGAACTTGTTGAGGGCATCAGGCAGAGATGGGTCTTTGGGACATTGTTCACTCCTTCCTTTATAATCTGTTATGCACTTAATGCCCCTCCACATGCTCCGAGGGTCTTGTGAGATGAATTGACCCTCAATCCTCTTTGCATATGTGGCCTTGGCCCTCTTAATACCAGCAACCAGCTCTGTTCTTGTCCTACTCAGCTCCTCTGAGTTTCCAGACCTGAAGGCAGTGTTCCTGGCTTCCAGCAGGGTACGCACCTCTGCATTCAGCCAAGGTTTTCTGTTTGGGTAGCTTTTAACATTTCTGATAGTGGAGACTGTGTCAGTACATGTACTAATGTAACCCAGTACTGAGGATGTGTATTGGTCAAGATCAAGCGAACCTCCATTTTCAGCGGCTTCTCTGAAAACCTGCCAGTCTGTTCGATCAAAACAATCTCTCAGTATGGGTCCACTGTCCTGGCTCCAACATTTAACTTTCTTTTGAACCGGTCTGGAGCGTCTCAGCGGGGGCATGTAAGCAGGAGCCAGGAAGATTGAGATGTGGTCTGACAGTCCTAGGTGGGGGCGGGGTTCGGCTTTGTATGCATCTTTTACGTTCGTGTAAACACGGTCCAGCGTGCGGTCTCCACGTGTCGGAATCGTCACGTGCTGATTAAAGCTTGGGAGACAGTCCTTTAGATTCACGTGGTTAAAGTCTCCGGCTACCACGTAAAGAGCCTCGGGGTGTTTGTTCTGCAGCGAGCTGATGATATCATGTAGCTCCTGTAGTGATTCATTAGCATTAGCGTCCGGAGGAATGTAAACAACTGTGATAAAAGTCACTGTGAACTCTCGGGGTAGATAATGTGGCCGACATTTCACTGTTATTTGCTCCAAAGCCTTCGAGCATGAGCTATTTACAACAGTACAGTTCGTGGACCAACTTTTACTCACGTAAATGCACACTCCGCCCCCCCGTGATTTCCCCGTTAGCTCGCTGCAGCGGTCCGCTCGAAAAAAAAGTCTGTCATCCAGCTGGAAGACTGAGTCCGGCGTTTCACTTGTAATCCACGTTTCTGTGAGGCAAAGCACCGCACACTTCTTCATCTCTTCTGAGGCGCCCGCTCTCAGACGAAGTAAATCCACCTTGTTGTCCAACGAGCGGACATTCGACAGAAAGAGAGACGGCATGGGGAGTTTACCGGCTTTAGCGTTAGCTCGTAGCCTCACCATAACCCCCGCCCGGCATCCTCTCCTCTTAAGCCGGGAGCAGCGCTTCCTCTTCTGCCCGCTGGAACGCCTCTGCTGCAGCTTCCAGGTAGATGACTTTAAGATCTGCATTCTGCCGAGCGTAGCTTTGAGTTTGTTGCTGATTTCTGCTATATTTCGTGGCAAATCCGCTCCTATTCTCATCAGTTCGGTTCGGCTATAGTTCACACGCATAAATCGCGCAGAGTCAGGCACAGAGTCAATATCAAAACTTCTAAAAACTGGGATGGTACCGGGAGCCTGTGAAGCTGCAACTGCTCTGAGCGCGGCCATCTTGGACATCTATGGACATATATGGACATATATCTTGGACATATATGTTAGTCTCATTGAGTCAGAGGACTCATTTTTAAGAGAGACCTGTTAAATCATGCAAGTTCTGTTTTTAAAACTGCATCTCAAACTACTGAAGTCAACTCAGGATAACTGGTAACTCTAAATTGTCCATAGGCGTGAGTGTGGGTTTGAAATAGTTGTTTGTCTCATTTGTCTCTATGTGTCCATCATGGAGCTTCTACCAGTTGAGGGCATCCCACGCCTCTCACACACTGACTGTTTGAGATAGGCACCAGCCTTAGGCACAGCAAGTAAAGAAAATGGATGGATGGTTTAACCAAACAGCTAGAACTCCATCCCTTCTCTTCATAAGTTGATCTCAGTTTAAAACTTTGACTATACATCAATCTCTTTTGTCATGTTAGGAGAAATGCAAAGTTACCAGTGATGCATTGACCACTTGACTGCTCGTCTCCATAGCGTTTGTGAGAAGGAGCATAGAGGAACATGATGGCAAAGACGTACAGATTCCACATGCCATAGATGCCAGTGAAGAAGGCACTGTTCACCTGTACAGCGTGATTTCCCCAGTGCCAGTGACCCTCATTAACCTGAACAAGAAAAAAAGGTTTAGTCACAAATTTGCTTTTTGAGGGAGAGTTTCACAAGAGACTGCAAACTCAAATCTAGTTTTTATCTGGTTATTAATCAGGAAAAAAGTTTACAAAATCAAACAGATCACAGAGCTGATGCTTCTACTCCAACAGTGCAGTTCGAAACCCTAATAAATGTTCAAATGACACTGACTCACCTGGCTGATGATGAAGAAGATGACAGTCATGGCAGCACAGAACAAAGTGACCAGCATCAGGAACTTGAACCTGAAAATAAGACCCTAAAATGGACAAAAATTGGTCCATTTAGTACCACACAATTAACAAGAGTACCACATACAGCACATAATACACCTGTTGACAAATTATTACAGTAGTCCCTTGATACTTGGCGGTTTGACTTTTGTGGACTCACTCTTTTGCTGGTTTTCAATGTAAAATTGTATGCAATTGGCGAAAGGGAAAAACAGACCCCACCCCACCCTTTCGCTTTCTGAGGCTGTCACAGCTGTGCGGTTCGCAGCTGAGTGTGAAGCAGCTGGGATGAGAATCATCACCTCCAAATCTGAGGCCATGGTCCTCAACCAGAAAAGGGTGGGTTGTTCTCTCCAGACTGAGGGTGAGGTTCTGCCCCAAGTGGAGGAGTTCAAGTATCTCGGGATTTTGTTCACGAGTGAGGGATGAATGGAGCGTGAGATTAACAGAAGGATTGGTGCAGCATCATATATTATTATCTGCTCTAAGCTAAAAAAGAAATTCAAAGTTTAAGGAATATCATTGCAAAGCAAAAGCAGACAAACATTTATATAAGAAACTTTTGGCGTAACATTTTTTTTACTTGCTATTCTACGGTGAAACCAGACGTGTTTTCCCTCTCTGCCCCCTCCCCCCCCACCCACTTCCCTGCTGCGCTCTTTTGTCCTGTGAACCCTTAAAAAAGCCTCTTTTTTTTTCATGCATACCTCTTAATTGGAAGGATCAGCTGGTCTCTCAACAAAATCGATCAACTTCTCCCGACAGGAGTCAGGGTAAGGAGGACCCTCTGACCTCTTTAAGGAACAAATTGGATTCATGATGACGACTAGATTCTACTGTTTGAGTTGGTGAAATCTGGTTGTCTACAAATTTGTGTGGAGGTGTTGAAGCTTGACAGTGCTTGGACTGAAGGTGGAGCTGTGACAGGGAATTGGAGCAGCTGTATCAGGACTGTGATCTCCCTGGCAGCACTCATGAATGGTGGAATAATCTGGAGAAGCTGTGAGCTCGACTTTTGGAGTAAAGGATCAATTCGGCTGTTTTGGAGTTTCCATCAGAGAAAATGTACCAGCGAGACTTTAAAGGCAGAAACAACAATTCACGAGGAGTTCTGCCTGACCCAAACTGTGGCCTTGATGCCGGACTTATCTCAACTCCTCCTGGAATGTTTTGAAAACAACAAAGATGCTTTGACTGTTTCCTCACCCCTCCCTTCTCCAAGGCCGTGGACATGTAACAGAACCTCAATTGAGCTGAAGATGAACGTCACCTCTTATCTGGACAATGGCTGAAAGGGGGGGGGGGGGGGGCGGAGCGGACCTTTTCTATTGTTTTCAATAAAAAATTAAATGTTTTCACCGCCTATATGTTCATGTATAACATCTGTTTATGTTGCTTGGCTGTGGTAGGTTTTTTTGATGCCTCAAATTGTGCCCTGTCTAGGACACGGTGTGAGAGATCTTTTTTTTTATACCGTCTCTCCTCATGTTTTCTTTCCTTTTCTTATCTAAGCAAAATATTATTCTGAATAAGAATAAGAAGGCCGCGCTAACTATTTATAGCCGCAGCTTCGTGCACTCCGCCCATCTTCGGACGACTGTACGTACATATTCGCGTTGTATCTCGGTGCAATGCCAATAAAGTTTATTCTGATTCTGATATAAGGTGGAAATGAAAACTACAGTAATAAATGAAGCCAATGCCCTCAACTCACCTCATAGTGCAGACGTCTGGCCTTGGACATGGCAGGCAGGGATGACCTCTTACCGCTGATGTTGCGGAAGACTTGAAACACCATGAAACAGAGAAAGAGGAAGTAGAGACAGGCACAGATTCCTGCCACGATGATGAAGGACATCTGAGGGAGAGTCAGTTAAAGAAATACAAGAAAAACAACAAAAATACTGAATTTAAAGGCCTCACATATACATCCATTATCTTTTACCCGCTTCTTCCGTTTCGGGTCGCAGGGGTCACTGGTGCCCATGTCTAGCCATCACTGTGCAAGAGTTGTCATTCCCCGATCTGTTACGGAAGCACGGTCTGTAGTGTACTTCCAGGTTGCACGGATCGCCGTTGTTTATGAATAAAAACTGTCTTAATTTACTTAGAAAAGTACATGCTCTATCTCCACCGATCTTCATGTAGCTAATTTACGCCGCTCGTATTTCTGTTACAAATCATTGGTTAAGATCTTCTTCTTTATCTTGTTTTGTATCTTCTTTATATTGTTATGGAATTGTTTTGTACCTTTTTAAAATGAATAAACTTTATACCATACCAAGATGATATGCGACACATTAAACCTGACCCCCAGAACGGGGATGAATGAGAAAAACCCTGCAAGATACAGAATTAATTATTTTCATGGTAAAACAGCGCTGCTCAGTGGTGAAGCTGCATATCATTTAAACCATGACGTAAATATGTCAATGATTTTAACAGAGTGGCATAAATTAGCAACATGAAAATCGGCAGAAATAGAGCACATGCTTTTCTAAGTATATGAAGACAGTTTTTATTCATAAACAGAATTATACTAGTGCATTTTCCTTAATCTATCATATTTAACGGCGATCCGTGTGACCTGGAAGTATTCCTTTTAGCACATGCGCAAACCAATTATTTAAACAAAACAACTAAAACTTGTCTTTGGTGAAATCTTTCCTAAAATCACTAACACAAGAGATAAGTGATAAAAAAAAAGAAAACTAAAAAAAGTAGCACAAAGCAGGACAAAATAAGAAGGTGTGGTTCATCCATCCATCCATTTTCTTCCGCTTATCTGGGGTCGGGTCGCGGGGGTAGCAGCCTAAGTAGGGAGGCCCAGACTTCCCTCTCCCCAGCCACTTGGGCCAGCTCCTCCGGTGGAATCCCGAGGCGTTCCAAGGCCAGCCGAGAAACATAGTCCCTCCAGCGGGTCCTGGGTCTTCCTCTGGGCCTTCTCCCTGTGGGATGTGTCCGGAACACCTCACCAGGGAGGCGTCCAGGAGGCATCCTAAACAGATGCCCGAGCCATCTCAACTGGCTCCTCTCGACGTGGAGAAGCAGCGGCTCTACTCTGAGTCCCTCCCGGATGATCGAGCTTCTCACCCTATCTCTAAGGGAGAGCCCAGACACCCTGCGGAGAAAACTCATTTCGGCCGCTTGTATCCGAGATCTCGTTCTTTCGGTCACAATCCAAAGCTCATGACCATAGATGAGGGTGGAAACGCAGATTGATCGGTAAATTGAGAGCTTCGCCTTTTGACTCAGCTCTCTCTTCACCACGACAGACCTGTACAACACCCGCTTCACTGCAGACGCTGCACCTATCCGCCTATCGATCTCAGGCTCCATTTTTCCCTCATTCGTGAATTAGACCCCAAGATACTTGAACTCCTCCACTTGGGGCAGGACCTCCTCCCTGACCCGGAGAGGGCACTCTACCCTTTTCCGGCTCAAGACCATGGCCTCGGATTTGGAGGAACTGATCCTCATCCCGGCCGCGTCGCACTCGGCTGCAAACCGCTCCAGCGAAAGCTGTATATCACGATCCGAGTGTAGAGCTGGTCCAGTATTCCACGACCAGGACGAAAACCGCACTGCTCCTCCTGAATCCGAGGTTCGACTATCCGACGGACCCTCCTCTCCAGAACCCCCAAATAAACCTTACCAGGGAGGCTTAAGAGCGTGATCCCCCTGTAGTTGGAACACACTCTACGGTCCCCCTTTTTGAATAGGGGGACCACCACCCTGGTCTGCCAATCCAGGGGAACTTCCCCCAATGTCCACGCAATATTGCAGAGTCGCGTAAGCCAACACAACCCTACAACATCCAGAGCCTTAAGGAACTCCGGGCGAATTTCATCCACCTTTGGGGCCCTGCCATCGAAGAGCGTTTTAGCCACCTCGGTGACCTCAGCACCAGAGATTGGAGGGCCGACCCAGAGTCCCCAGGCTCCGCTTCCTCAGTGGAAGACATGCCAGTGGGATTGAGGAGGTCTTCAACCGAAGACCCATGACATCCCGAGTTGAGGTCAGCAGCGCACCACTCTCACTATGAACAGTGTTGGTGGCGTGCCACTTTCCCCCCTGAGACGCCGGATGGTGGACCAGAATCGCCTCGAAACCGTACGGAAGTCATTCTCCATGGCCTCTCCAAACTCCTCCCATGCCCGAGTTTTTTGCCTCAGCGACCACACGAGCCACATGTCACTTGGACTGCCGGTACCCATCAGCTGCTTCTGGGGTCCCACATGCCAAAAAGGCCCAATAGGACTCCTTCTTCAGCCTGACAGCATCCTTCACCGAAGGTGTCCACCACCGGGTTTGAGGGTTGCTGCCACGAAAGGCACCGACAACCTTGCGGCCGCAGCTCCAGTAAGCCGCCTCGACAATGGAGGCATGGAACATGGCCCACTCGGACTCAATGTCCCCTACCTCCCCAGGAACATGTTCGAAGTTCTTCCGGAGGTGGAGTTAAAACTTCGTCTCACAGGAGACTCTGCCAGACGTTCCCCTCCCTGGGCTGCCACCTTACCGTGGTGGAGGGGTTTGAGTGTCCCAATGATCCTAGGAGCTGTACTGTCAGTACATACATACATTTTTTTTTGCTTTGTTTTGTTTTTTGTCTTTTTTGTTTTCTTGTTTTTTGAATGTCCAGAGGACCAGATTGAACTTTTTTGGATTTTTCTACCTGGATTATTGAGCATGTATCAGGATATACTGTCAGGGGCTTTACGCCCCTAGTAGGGTCACCCAAGGCAGACAGGTCCTACGTGAGGGACCAGACAAATTGCAGCCCAAAGACCCCTATGATGAGTAAAATAAATGGGACTTGATGTTCCCTCACCTGGACGTGGGTCACTTGGGCCCCACTCTGGAGGTAGGCCTGGAGGAGGGGCAGGCGGGCGAGTGCCTGGGGCCGGGCTTTTACCCATGGAGCTCGGCCGGGCACAGCCCGAAGAGGAGACGTGGGTCCCCCTTCCCATGGGCTCACCACCTGTGGGAGGGGCCAAAGAGGTCGGGTGCAATGTGAGATGGGTGGTGGCAGAGGGCGGGGACCCTGGCGGTCTGATCCTCGGCTACAGAAGCTGGCTATTCGGACGTGGAATGTCAACTCACTGGTGGGGAAGGAGCCTGAGCTGGTGTGTGAGGTTGAGAGGTTCCGGCTAGAAATAGTCGGACTCACCTCTACGCATGGCTCTGGAACCAGTTTTCTTGAAAGGGGTTGGACACTCTTCCACTCTGGAGTTGCCCCTGGTGAGAGGCGCCGAGCAGGAGTGGGCATACTTGTTGCCCCCCATCTTGGTGCCTGTGTGTTGGGGTTCACCCCGGTGAATGAGAGGGTGGCCTCCCTACGTGTGGGGGGACGGGTTCTGACTGTCGTTTGTGCTTATGCACCAAAAGGCAGTTCAGATTATCCACCCTTTTTGGAGTCCTTGGAGGGAGTACTGGAAAGTGTACCTCCTGGGGACTCCCTTGTTCTGCTGGGGGACTTCAATGCTCACGTGGGCAATGAAAGTGAGACCTGGAGGGGTGTGGTTGGGAGGACCGGCCCCCCTGATCTGAAGCCGTGTGGTGTTCTGTTGTTGACTTCTGTGCTCATCATGGATTGTCAATAACAAACACCATGTTCAAGCATAAGGGTGTCCATATGTGCTCTTGGCACCAGGACACCCCAGACCGCAGTTTGATGATCGACTTTGTCATCGTCTCATCTGATCTGCGGTCACATGTCTTGGACACTCTGGTGAAGAGGGGGCAGAGCTGTCCACTGATCACTACCTGGTGGTGAGTTGGCTCTGATGGTGGGGGAGGATGCTGGTCAGACCTGGCAGACCCAAACGTGTTGTGAGGGTTTGCTGGGAACGTCTGGCTGAGTCTCCTGTGAGACGAAGAAGGTGTGGTTGTGATGCAAAAATCAGAGCAACAAGCAGGGAAAAAGTGATCCATATACAAACACATCCCAAGTCCCTAAGCAGTGGTGTTACATGTGGCACCAATCAATTATTTTTCTTATAATCTACATAATCTTACTTTTCAGCTCATATTGATCCATAAAATACCTGATGAAAACTGAAAAAACTAACAAGAGTTCTGCATATAGCACAATATACACTCATCAACAAACTATTATACATCATTATAGAAATCTATGTCCTGGACAAGCAAAGACCTTGTGTAACACTTGACCTTGATTTGTGACCTTGAACTGACTAGAACTTAGGGGGATTAAAAGTATACAGACACTCCATCTAGTGAAGTTTCGTTAAATTATCTTAACAAAACCCTCGTTTGTCCTCGAATGGGACAAGAGAAAATTTACGTACGTGCAGACGGGGTCTATTCCATAATTTGTCCACCTTCTATGTGTGTAAAAGAAAATGTAAATTCATTCAGCAAGAAGCAAGAGAGTGCCAGAGCACTCCTTTTCCATCCAACAAGCAACGTGTTTACTGACTGCTAACCTACCATATTTCCACACAGACGTCCAGCTTCATCAGAAAGGACTGCTTGACCAACAGCAGATAAACCTGATTCTTGTAAATATAGTTTAAAAGGATACAGCAAGCTCCGTTCCCACATCTGAGGCCCAGATGCTGTAGAAGGGATTTGTTAGCTGGACACCTCTGGGGGGAAAAACACTTTTTTTTTAAATTATGTTTTAAGGAATAAAACACACAGGTGACAATAATATAAATCATAAAGACAAAATATTATTTAATATGAATTTGCTGTTGTAAGAAAAAAAAAGGTTCACCTCTCACACATGTCAAAGATGAAGAGGCAGAAGGACCCGAACACGATGGGTCCGACCTGCTTCCAGTAGACTGAAAAACGGTTCCTCTCCGTCTGGTCCTGAGAAAGAGGCAAGAAAAGTACCAAGATGGGAAATATCACACTGATAAATCTTGGTGTTATTTTTGATCAGGACATGTCTTTATCCCCCACATTAAAAACGTTACTAGAACCACCTTCTTCCACCTGCGTAATATCACTAAAATTAGAAATATCTTATCTAAAAACGATGCACTGGCTCATGCATTTGTCATGTCTAGACTGGACTATTGCAATGGTTTATTATCTGGATGTACAAATATTTATTTAAAACGTCTTCAGTTGATCCAAAATGCTGCTGCCAGAGTCTTAACTGGAGTTAGTAGGAGAGATCACATTTCTCCAGTTTTAGCTTCTCTCAACTGGCTCCCTGTCAAGTCCAGAATAGAAATCAAAATCGGATCAAAGGCGAAACGTTTCAGCACAAAAAAGGAACCATCCAGATGACCTGACTGAAAAATGTTGGATTGTATACCTGGATTATTGAGCACGGACTTTGTTGTTTTCACCAGTTTGACACGACTGTCAACAAGAAAGAGGGCCGGCAATGGAAGAGGGGGCATGCCAAAGAGACCATCTTAGCACCAACCTAACTGTTTTTTTTTTCCATTTTGGAGTAAGCTGTTGGAGGAAGAATCAGTTTTGTTGTGTGTTTCCTTGACTGATGAAGCCTTCCGGATTGAAGGCGAAACGTTTCAGCACAAAAAAAGAAACTGTCCAGATGACCTGACTGAAAAATGTTGGATTGTATACCTGGATTATTTAGCATGGACTTTGTTGTTAGAATTCAAAATCCTACTTCTAACCTACAAAGCTCTCAACAACTTAGCTCCATCTTATATTACAGATCTTATTGTTCCATATTTTCCTAACAGAGCACTTCACTCTCAGGCTGCAGGTTTACTTGTGGTTCCTAGAATTTACAAAAACAGAATGGGAGGCAGATCTTTCAGTTATCAGGCTCCTCTCTTGTGGAACCAACTTCCAATCTCTGCCTGTGAGGCTGACACATTATCCAGTTTTAAGACTTTCCTTTTTGCTAAATCCTATAGTTAGGGTCGGCTTTGGTTTCCTGAGCTGTCCCTTAGTTATGCTGCTATAGGCTTAGACTGCTGGAGGACAAACTGACCACACTTTTCACTCTGCTACGTCTTTACTTACTCTGCTCAACCTGTTTTGTATTTGTAATTATTTTTCTGTCCGTAATATGTGTTTGTTTGTCTTTCAGATACACCTGGACCTATACCTGGACCTACCATTCTGTGTTTGTCTGTCTCTCCTTCCTGTCCTCTCAAACCAGCCGGTCAAAGCAGATGGTCTCTTGTCTTGAGCCTGGTTCTGCTGGAGGTTTCTTCCATTTAAAAGGGAGTTTTTCCTTTCCACTGTTGTCACTGTGCTTGCTCAGGATGGGAGACTGTGACGAAGCCAAGATTCAACTTGTATGCTGGATTCTTTAGATAGAGAACTTTACTAATTGGCTTTTAGGTCTCTCTTGTAAATGAGTCCTTGAGGCTCAATGGGATTTACCTGTCTAAATAAAGGTTGAATGAATGTATGTGAATGTTCCTGTAAAGTGCCCTGAGACAACTTTGTTGTGATTTGGCGCTATATAAATAAACTGAATTGAATTGATACAAAAATCAGTTTACAACTTCTACACACGGGCGCACCAGTTCTACAGGAGCATGGGGTACTTCAGACTGAGTTAAACTTGCATTTTCGCATCTCACCAACGCTGTTGCATGAAGAAAATTACGTAGCTTCAGTCTGTTACTACTCGCTGTATTGTGCACTGCCCCCAGTCAGAACGTGCAGGCACACTTTGTATGACTGGTCAGAACTTTGTGGGTGTGTTTGTTCATGAGGAACAGCACATTACCAGGAGAACTACTAGAGCTTACTCCTCCTCTTCCAACAACACGAGTCTCCCTTCCAACATCTGATACGTCACTGAGTGAAAAAAAACAAAACAACCTCTATCATTCCTGCTGTTGCTATTGTTGTTTATATGTTTACCTATGTGCATGACGTGTGCTACAGTGGGAGGAATTATGATGATTTATACCTTGCATCTTCTCCTCGACCATAAACGCACATGAAGCACACTGATGGGGGTTCTGGGGGGTCCTCCCCCAGAAAATTTTGAATAAAGTAGATGCTATTCCCTGCATTCTGGTGTATTTTAATGGGCTGTTTAACATTTAGTTTTGCCTACATAAGTAACACTTGATTCAATAACTATTTTAAAGTTAATGGCACAACAAGAAGTAGCCTGACCAACAGCTCTCCTTGTGTGAACAGAGCACACTCCGCTTCTCTCATGCATCCTAGCCACAGTCTAAGAAACATACCGTAGTGTAGCCTAAGTTAACTTTTAGGGAAAAAAATCACTAGTCAATATGAAACAATAATAATAATCACTCCTTACCAATGACCTAGCATAAAGCAATATGATCATCATCAATCATGTTTATTAGTAGCTTAAAATGCATAATTAAAACTCCAGTAATGGGCTAGGTCTACTGTAATGTTAACCAGTTGTAGGGTCAAGAGACAAACATGTAGCATTAACACAGTATAAACAACATCCAGAAATTGTTTCTATAAGAACATTATCAAATATTTTACAGGAATGGTAAGATTGCTTCGCCTACGAAGAAATGTAAAGTTTGGTATGAACACCAGCATCCTCATCAACTTTTATAGGTGCACCATTGAGAGCCTGCTGGCAGGCTGCATCACAGGGTGGTACAAGAACTGCACAAGTCAGAGCCGGAAAGCTCTACAGAGGTGGTGCAAACAGCAGAGGACATCACTGGTAGCAGTCTCCACACCATCCAGGACATCTACCACAGCCGATGTCTGTGTAAAGCACGCAGCATCAATAAAGACCACACCCACCCAGCACAAGGATTCTTCCATACAGGAGTTTGCCATCGAGCACGAAAAGACTTTAATACTCAAAGACAGTTATTATCCACAAGCTGTCAGATTACTGAACTCTCAAAAAATAACACTGAACAACTGGCAATAACATTGCACCAAGCCACATCTGTGACAACTAATATTTTATTGCTAATGCATTATGTGGCTGTATCATGTATGTCACTACCTTACCATCATAATTCAGTCTCAATGTTACTCACTACCTGTGCAATAACCTGTCACACAACCTGTGTAGTTTATGTTAGTTATGTGCAGTATACATCATGTACATTTAAGCTTATATTACTACCTTGAAATACTTATTCATACAAATTCATCCTACTTGCACCATTATATTTTACCATGTTGTTTACTATTTTTTCTTTAGGACCTTGTACATATTGTATTTACTTTTTCACTTTTTAGTACTTTATTTTGTACCCTTATTGAATGCTTTAGTATTTCTTGTTTGTTTGTTCATTGTTATAGTGAGTCTAATCAGTTCTCATCCTGAATATTTTATTGTCCTGTGAACCTTGTGTTAACCTGCATATGGCAAATAAACATAACCTGAATTAAGAATTAACCATTAATTTAACCATTAAGCATACAATGTAATTATGACAGAAAATGGAAGATTTACCTGCAACTTTCGTAGAGTTGAACATGTGGTAGCTACTTCCTGTTTATAACTTGTGATCAGCTGATGGGGTCAGTCCCCGGCTTTTTACATGTTTTCCAAACTCTGTTTAATTTTTGAAAAAAATAAATTGTATTCCACCCTCTAAACGCTCAGGGTAACACATGTGTGGATTACCTGTTCTCCACTGACACCGTTTAACCATTTTGTTCTGGTGATTTTTCACAAACCCCTCTGACTGTAAAGTGTCTAGTCTGTAGCCTCTGCATGTAAGGGGCGTTTACCTTCAGGACAAATTGAGGTTACCGATTGGTCATTTGCTGACACGCCTACTGGATTGATTGACAGGTCGCACAGCAGAGCTGACTTGTGGAAAAAAGAAAAAAAACGAGAGCTGCAGCCCTGCGGAGGAGGTGGGGCGGCCCAGGAGCAGCAGTAGCGTGTTCTGTGTTTATATGTTGTTAATAAAAAGTTCTAAAAAAAATTAAAAAGCAGGGGGTGCCGGCCCTGCAGCCCACAAATCAGACTGGCCCACCAGGAATTCTCCAGATGCTCCCAATTGGCCACTCCGGGCCTGGTGCTATGACTCTGCAGACATTGCACGTTGCTGTCTTGTTTTGTGGTGTTTCTAGTGTAAAATACTTCCACACAGCGGACATGTTTAGATGAAAAGTTGGTTGTTAGCCGTTAGCCACAGTGCTGCTAACTCAGTCCTCACATTGTAGCTGGCTGCAAACTATGAAATGAATTTCCTGAATGTGAGGCGGGTCTTATTACTCTGGGTTCATGAGACACTCCTCCGTTCAGGAAATCCATTCCGTAGTTTGAAGCCAACATGCATCATGGATTGGAAATCTCTGCAGGTTGGATCGGAAAAATCCGATACGTAAATTATGCTGGTATCGGAGGCCGATACAGATATTGGATTGGATCGGCCTCATCCCTACTTTAAACAGAGGGAGTCAATAAAAGGAAAGATTTGTGGCTTCAGCCCAGCTGCAGAGACAGAGTCCAATTGTATGGATGTGAATTAGTCAAATCCTACTTTAATAAAAGCAGAATTTGACTTGTTTTATTTATAATACCATTGTAATTTTTAACTAAAATTTAAGTTATTGGACAAAACATCCAGTCAGCATGCTGTTTAATATAATGTCATTAGTTTTAAATTAACAAAATAAAGCAGCTTAATCAAGAAAACCATGAGTGTGAAATACCTTCCCAACAAGGATTTGTTGTAGGTCTGCATGTGGCCTGTCAGGCCACTGGGTGGTATCACTTGTACAACCTCATCAACTTCTATAAGTAGTTCAATGCAAAAGTCGAGATTGCTGATTGACAGTGACATTAAATGTACGCTTGCCTGACAGTTCACATAATTTGGGCATTTAAAAGCTTCAGACAACTTGTCTTATTATGGAAATGCTGATTCAGTATTATTGTTTCCTGTTTTTTTCCTGTGCATTGTTGGAAATTAACTACTGAAGAATTTGTTCCATTTTAGCCATTCATCAAAACTTTTAGCACATTTAGGGTACGATGACTTTTGGCATTTTGTTAAATACATCTATTTACAAACATCTTCCCCACAGAAATACACGGAGATTGCTTTAATTCCTTCAAAAATATTGCTCTCTTTAAAATCTGCTACAGCTACTTGTCTGTTTTTGTCTCCTTGTGCTACTTTCAGCTTTGGGCTACAATTCTGCTAGTTTAAGCTTTTAGCACATGTTCAATTTATTTTACTTTCAACTACCCCTTTTCAGTTTATTTGGTAAATTTCAGCAAAGTCACTCAGCACTTAGTGTTTGCTCTGCATTTTCACAGAAAATGACATTTCTGTAGTTTCAGTTTTCTTAGCAAACATCAGGAGCTGCATTTAATGCCAGTCAAAATGGAGGGGCTGTGTTCACCCATAAGGGAGAATTGCACAAAGCTCAATATCCAGATGTGATGCTCCATTCTATAAATGTGCCACCAAGCCTGAAAAGATGTCTTGAAAATCGATGTGACTGGTGTTACACATAGAGCCCATCAACTAAGTTTGATGTTTGGAGACTGACATGGTTGCAGTAAAGTTCTAAAGTGGGAATCAGCTGAAGAATTAACCATTTACAACATTCTGATAAAAAACAAAGAAAACATGACTGAAGCTTACAGTACCATGAGATGTTCGCCACAGAAAATGATCCAGAAGGACAGCAGCATGGAGTAGAAGATGCCCTGTCTGATGTCCCCAAAAAGAAGCATCCAGGTCCAGTTAAAGCCCACAGAGAACCACTCCACGGGCATGTTGATGAATGTCATGGAGATGCCAAGAGCAAAGATTACCCTGAGGAAACAAAACATGTATTTTACAAACAAACATTTATGCTAGTAGCCTGTTCACTAGAACTGTTTTTTTTTTTTTTTTTTTGGGGGGGGGGGGGGGGGGGGTGTCGGTTTTTAAATATCTTTGTAAACACAGCAGCATTTCTAGAAATGTTTTCATCCAGAAAAATACAGAAAATACCCAAAATGCTATAGCTGCTATGCATGCAAGTGGAGCTGTAATGCTACCAAGAAAATACACCACAAACAATAAACAAAGCACGGAGCTTGTACAGTAGTCCCTCACTTTTCGCGGGGATTATGTTCCCAACAACCCGGAAATAGGTGAAAATCTGCGAAGAAGGGATGTTGTATTTATTTTAGTATTTATTTATATTTTAAGACTTTATAAACCCTTCCCACACTCTTGCAATGTTCTTAACAATGTTCTAAACTCTCTAAACCAGGAGTGTCAAACTCACTTACAACAGGGGGCCAAAATTAAAACCTTTTTCAAACTAAGGGCCAATTTCAGAAACTACAATAAATTAAATCAGATACCCAACATCTTTTTCTTGCTCACAGGTTCCTCAACAAGAGTTTGATTGGTAACAATTGGTGTTCGCTGTTGTGCTTTCGACATCATAATAAAAAATTAATGAAAAAATGCAAGAGATAGAAGTGTTTTACATTTCACATATCATCTTGGGGGCCAGATGTCAGCGAGGGCCACATTTGGCCCCCAGGCCTTGAGTTTGACTCTAAGCACTCTAAAAGAGCACAGCAAAAGAGAGAAGACAGACTGATGCTACGGTTACTGAGACAATCAGACTAGCCATCGGGAGCGCAGGGACATTTCCCGGTGGCCTAGCCCGCTCAGTGATCACCGAGGGGGAATAAAGGCTCGGTTCGGATCTCGCTTGATTATTTTAAATAAACAATCCATGCCGCTCATGCAGCTCACTCAGGTATAAGACAGACTCCTCCTTTCTTTTTCTGAGGCTCTGTCACAGCAGAGTAGAGAGATTGCATGTGTGACTCTGCTCTGCTGTGACAGACGGCTTCAGAAAGAGAAAGGAGTGTGTGTGTGTGTGTGTGTGTGTGTGGGGGGGGGGGGGTCTGTCTTATACCTGAGTAAGCCACGCTCAGCCACTCTCTCTTTTTAAACTGATTCACACTTATTTTTCCACCTAAGCATTTTATCCAATATTCTACAGTTGTTCATCTGATATGTTCGTCCCTGCACCCCGAACAGTAGCGTTAGGTGTAGGGATGACCACCGACCCCTCCTTTCTCTTTCTGAGGCTGTTGCAGCCTCAGAAAGAGAAAGGAGGGGTCAGGGGTCTGTCTTTCCCAATCGCCAATCGTGTGTCGTGTACAATCTTACGTTGAAAACCCGTGAAAGAGTGAGTCTGTGAAAGTTGAACCACAAAGTATCGAGGGACTACTGTACATACAACTTATACACTGGGTGAGAAATGTAAACAGAATTAGAGGACGTCCTTCGGTCGAAGGTCAGTAGAAGGGCTAAGACATCCTTTTCAAAAAGTTGTGTTTTGTCTGACTACACAAAAACAAAAGTGGGACATTTTAAGATCTTTTCCCTCTGGAACTAGTTTTAAAAACAATATCGTTTTGAGCCTTCTTTATTTGTGGAAGCCGGACTGAAACAAAAAATACTTGTGTATTCCAAACGTTCCCATGTGGACGACCTCTCCACCACATAGAGCTCCCCGTCACTATCTAAGTTTAGTGAAACCCGAGGTTTCTCATTTTGACACCTCTGTGGGCCAGCATGACAGGAGACTGCCGAAGCTTTTACAGCCTGAAAAGATCATCTGCTGCCCACTAATAGGGTTTGACAAGTCCTGCTTTTTAAAAGCTTGCTGGTCATCTGGGAATAAGAGCTTTGAGCTGGAAAAAGCAGAGGAAATGAGAGAGACTGTGTGTGTGTTCATTCACACAAGTGCAGTATGTGTCTGAGTACCAACTTGTAGATTTTGTAACGTGTTCAACGCTTCACCAGGCTCTTCCTGCGCTGCCTCTTTACTGATCCACCATCAAAGGATGGTACCTCTGGCTCTGTGGCTTGTTCCAGTCACAAGAACCTAATATTTAGGATTTATTTTCCATGATTTGATTGAGAATTTACACAAATGTATGATATTTTGGGTTTTAGCTCATGCTGCATCCTTTATTTTGGCCACAACACCTTTAGTTGTGAGGGTGATAAAAGCAGCAACACGTTTTGATCAGTTTGGTTGGTATTAATGGTATGTGTTTTTAAATTAGACGTGTTACGTTAATTATCAATGAACAAGTTGCACATTAGTAATGGCATGGACAAGTTGAGCTGACAACATGGTGTAGCTGCTAAAAATACTATGTGCAGTAGGTGCAACTATAGACACACAGTACGCCAATGTCCCCCATCACTGAGGAATATGAATGTTTGAGATTTTCAAGATGAGTGGTTTTCCAGACCGAGTTAGACATGGCAACACATTTTTGATAGGGATCCTTCTCACAACTAGATTTAGCTACACATCAAAACAGAAGTTGGTACAGCACTTATTTTTCAAGTTATTGTACTCACAACACGGAAAGACATTTATAGTGGCAGCCATCTTGGATTTTGACCTGATAACCAAATTTTTGAAAGGAAACTTTCTTACGCCTAGATGTAGCCATACACTAAAATAGAAGTTGGCATGTTGCTTATTATTCCAAGATATCCAAATCACAAGGTTTACATATATTACATATATACATGTACAGGTCCTTCTAAAAAAATTAGCATATTGTGATAAAGGTCATTATTTTCCATAATGTAATGATAAAAATGATACTTTCATATATTTCAGATTCATTGCACACCAACTGAAATATTTCAGGTCTTTAATTGTTTTAATACTGATGATTATGGCATACAGCTCATGAAAACCTCAAATGCCTGTCCCAAAAAATTAGCATATCATGAAAAGTTTCTCTAAACAAGCTATTAACCTAACCATCTGAATCAACAACGTAACTCTAAACACCTGCAAAAGATTCCTGAGGCTTTTAAAAACTCCCAGCCTTGTTCATTACTCAAAACCGCAATCATGGGTAAGACTTCTGACCTGACTGCTGTCCAGAAGGCCATCATTGACACCCTCAAGCAAGAGGGTAAGACACAGAAAGAAATTGCTGAACGAATAGGCTGTTCCCAGAGTGCTGTATCAAGGCACCACAGTGGGAAGTCTGTGGGAAGGGAAAAGTGTGGCAGAAAACGCTGCACAACGAGAAGAGGTGACCGGACCCTGAGGAGGATTGTGGAGAAGGGCCGATTCCAGACCTTGGGGGACCTGCGGAAGCAGTGGACTGAGTCTGGAGTAGAAACATCCAGAGCCACCGTGCACAGGCGTGTGCAGGAAATGGGCTACAGGTGCCGCATTCCCCAGGTCAAGCCACTTATGAACCAGAAACAGCGGCAGAAGTGCCTGACCTGGGCTACAGAGAAGCAGCACTGGACTGTTGCTCAGTGGTCCAAAGTACTTTTTTCGGCTGAAAGCAAATTTTGCATGTCATTCAGAAATCAAGGTGCCAGAGTCTGGAGGAAGACTGGGGAGAAGGAAATGCCAAAATGCCAGAAGTCCAGTGTGAAGCACCCACAGTCAGTGATGGTCTGGGGTGCCATGTCATCTGCTGGTGTTGGTCCACTGTGTTTTATCAAGGGCAGGAACAATGCAGCTAGCTATCAGGAGATTTTGGAGCACTTCATGCTTCCATCTGCTGAAATGCTTTATGGAGATGAAGATTTCCTTTCTTAGCACGACCTGGCACCTGCTCACAGTGCCAAAACCACTGGTAAATGGTTTACTGACCATGGTATTACTGTGCTCAATTGGCCTGCCAACTCTCCTGACCTGAACCCCATAGAGAACCTGTGGGATATTGTGAAGAGAAAGTTGAGAGACGCAAGACCCAACACTCTGGATGAGCTTAAGGCCGCTATCGAAGCATCCTGGGCCTCCATAACACCTCAGCAGTGCCACAGGCTGATTGCCTCCATGCCACGCCGCATTGAAGCAGTCATTCATGCAAAAGGATTCCCAACCAAGTATTGAGTGCATAACTGAACATGATTATTTGAAGGTTGGCGTTTTTTGTATTAAAAACACTTGTCTTTCATTGGTGGGATGAAATATGCTAATTTTTTGGGACAGGTATTTTGGGTTTTCATGAGCTGTATGCCATAATCATCAGTATTAAAACAATTAAAACCTGAAATATTTCAGGTGGTGTGCAATGAATCTGAAATATATGAAAGTTTCATTTTTATCATTACATTATGGAAAATAATGACCTTTATCACAATATGCTAATTTTTTGAGAAGGACCGGTATATACATACATACATATATATATATAAATTTTATTAACGAGAGATTATGTGCAGCAGAACTAAAGTGTTTCAGCATGGCGCTATTATCTTGCAGCACGCATAGCATTAGCAGCCCTGCATGTCGTTGCGGTCTCCTGTTTGGGAACATTATGGATTTCTTGTTAAGACAAGTGAACAAATCCAAAGCTGTGTGTCGACGTTGTTTCACGGAGAGTGGATCTGCAGCAGCAACACGTCTAACTTGTTAACACTCTTGAAACGACATCATCCGAATGTGAACGTCTCTTGTAGCAGCTTGTTGCAAAGAGCGATAACAGCAGCATTTAAACAACATTTATCAGGTCATTCAGATCAGTCCAGGGCAATAACACAAGAAGTAGGAGTTTCTAAAGCTCTAGATCTACGTTTCTGTTGTTGATGTGCCGGCTTTAAAGTTCTTGAGCCTCGCTACGACATCACATCACGTCAACACTTCAGCCAAAAAGTTGTAGCAGCACTTTATGAAAAAGATAAAACTGATCGTCAACAAGCCCTGGACCAGATTAAAGCCCTGCCCTGATGATGATGATGATGACCGAGAGATTCAACCACCTCATAACAACCGTTCAAGAAGAGGTATTGTTCTTTTATTATTATCTAATTAACTTTTTTAAATTTAAAGTTATAATCTTATTAACTTATTATTATTTTTTTTTTTACCTCTTTGTGTTTTATTTCCAGTCTGGGACAGAGATAGCAGCTGAGTCTTCCTCTTCAGGGAAATCCACCAGAGATCACCTCCAGCTAAAAAGTCTGTGATGAGTGAACTCTGAACTTTTCCAGGGACCTGTCCCACCTGTGGGAGCAGGTCCAAGAGGTTGAGATTTTCATTATTGTTAGTATAATTTATTTATTGTAAAGAGTGCCGTTAATTTAAAATATCATCCAAATGGGTCGCTTTATTTATTTTTATACAAAAGTATTGTTTACTTGGCATATTTTCAAAATAAACATTTTGTAAGTCTTCATTTTGTCATTTTTTGTACCGAAAATTAACCAAACCGAGCCCTCCTTGAAATTCATCTGAACCGAAATGTGAATTTAGCGTACCGTTACACCCCTAGTTTTTAGTTTTCTACACCACCTTCCAACCTAGCTGGGGTTTTTTTTTGTTGCTACTTTTCAGTTTAATTACCATTTCATTTTCACTTGTTAAAAAAAATTCTCAATTTGTACGCATCCTTTATGATTGTCTATTGTTGTCTACTGTTGTCATCATTCTTTGTTAAAATCAGGGCTCTCTTGTAAATGAGACCCCGAGGCTCAATGGGATTAACCTGTATAAATAAAGGTTGAATGAATGAAAAAATATATTGAGGCAGCCATCTTTGATTTTGATGTGGCAACCCAATTTTGAAAGCAACCTTTTTTATGTCTAGATGCAGCCATACACCAAAAAGGAAGTTGGTACAGCACTTATTTTTCAAGTTACCATGCTCACAACATGAATGGACAGATGGTATTTCCAATTTCCCCTCTTTGCTTTGTAACGGAGGAAAAAAATACAGATGCATGGTAGAGGTAGCGGGCAGCACGGTGGCACAACTGGTAGAGCTGCTGCCTCTCAGCGAGCAGGTCCTTGGTTCGAACCCCGGTCCAGGGGCCTTTCTGGGTGGAGTTTGCATGTTCTCTCCGTGCATGCGTGGGTTTTCTCCGGGTGCTCCGGTTTCCTCCCACAGACCAAAAACATGCAAGTTAGGCTGATTGGTAACTCTAAATTGTCCCTAGGTTTGAGTGAGAGAGTGAATGGTTGTTTGTCTCTATGTGGCCCTGTGATGGACTTGCGACCCGTCCAGGGTGTACCCCGCCCCTCGCACAGTGATTGCTGGACATGGGCACCAGCGACCCCCGTGACCCAAAATGGAATAAGCGGGTAAAGAAAATGGATGGATGGATGGTAGAGGTAGCAAAAAGATCAAGAGTTTATACGAAGTCTATTCTTCTTACAAAAAAGTACTAAAACTACAATTTAAACTTATTTATGCACAATCAAGAATAAATTCTCATCATATTTCCAAGAAATGTTGTTATTTCTGAATATCCTAATATACTGTGTTACTGTCCAACATTAACCCTAATTCCACCCATTCCACCGATTGTTTTCTGTTAAACCATTCATCTCTCCTTAGACCGCCGTTAATGTAGGACCGAGCTCTCATAATTTTAGGGATCAGCTGTAAATGTCTGGCATTATGAAGACAAAATTTAAAAGAGCCACATTATGGTCACTTCAATGATTGATGTAAGTGAGAACACTGCTGTGGAGGAGGAGCCTTACTTCTCCAGGAGAACGGGAGGTCTAGTCATGAGGGTGATGCGTCTCCAGTACCAGATCATAATGATGAGGATGCTGGGTGTGAGGAAGGTCTTCATAGCAAACCAGACTTTGGTGAAGCCTCCATTCTGATGGATGCCCTTGAGAAAAAAAAAGTAAAAACCTTCAAATGTTTGCAGTGTTATAATGTAACAAAGTAGAAATACTGTTACTGTACTTACTGTAAGTAGAATTTTGATGAATCTTTACTTAGTTATTTACATTTTTAGTGACTTTCACTTTTACTCCACTACATTTCCCCAATAAAATGTGTACTTTTACTCCAATACATTTCACTTAACCATCTTCATTACTCGCTCCTACAACACAAAATTAGAAGAAATCTGATTGGGCAATGCCTGTTTGTTCTCCAGACTGTGACTTCACGCGACCCCTTCTCTCTCCCTCACTGACACTCAAGCCCCCAGTATACTCCCTCTTACCTCTGCAAGGCATGTCCGCGCAAACCTCAATTTTTACGACTGCGTACACGTACGCGGTGTCGCACAATAAACTGCCCGGCGACAGACTGTTTTGTATGAGATGCCAATGTGTTAAATTCCTCTTCTTCATCCCTGATCTGGCCTTTTCTTTTGTTTGTTTTTCCCAAAGGCAAGCGATCTCTTCCTCCTCCATTGATGCCATGACTGAAATGGTGAGAAATGAAGGAATTTGCCATGAGCAAATTAAACTCAGGTCCAGCGTGGCTGCAGGAGGGTCTGGAGATTTCCTGGTGGGCTGGTCTGATGTGTGGGCTGCAGGACCAGCGCTCCCTGTTTTTTTTCATTTTTTAGAACTTTTTATTAACAACATATAAACACGGAACATCACTGTGGCTGGGGCTGCCAGCTCTCGTTGTTTTTTTTTTTTTTTTTTACCTGTCAATCAATCCAGTAGGCATGTCAGCAAATGAGCAATCAGCGACCTCAATTTGTCCCGAAGGTAAACGCCCCTTGTCTGCAGAGCTGCTCTGCAGCTGCTCAGGGTGGATGCTCGAGCATGAAGTCTCAACCCTCTGCGGACAGTGCGCACAGATTCCGTGTGAGTGGGAGCCTTCACTCACAAACCCAGCCCCTCCCCCGCCGCTTGTGTGAAAACTGCGTGTTAATTGGATTTGGTACCCGGATGATTGAGCATGAACTTTGTTGTGTGTTAACAAGCTAGATGCATATGCAGATATCAATCGTTACAATAGGTCTTTGTTGACTCACAGTGGAGCCACTGTAAATTCCTGATAGGTGTGAAAATTACGGTAGCTGCTAAAAAGAAGAGGTTTGTGTTCTCCAGGACATTAACTGGTTTAGAGCAGCAAGGTGAAGTTGTTGGGCCACTAGTCTTCCCATTAAAGAACACGGAGACAAATATCCAGTTTAGGCTGATTTATTTGTTGTGTTTCTTCTGGTATTTACACAGCAGTAAACCAGTAAAGCACAAACAAGCTTGAACAACAAGGCTTTGTCCGTGTCGGGAGAGAAATAAAGAACTTCCAACTGAGTTCTGCACTTTACACAGAGCGGTGCGTTCACTAGCATTGGGACAGCCACGGTGCATTCAAGAACATAGGAACTATTAATTTCAGAAAGAAACAAGCCATAACCAAACAGAACCTAGCTCAGTAAACACAACAATGTGGGCTTTCTAACAGCTTTGTTAACAAAGTTTAACAAAGGTTAATAAAGGTTGAATGAATATACTTCATTAGAATCAGACTTTTTAAAGAACAATTTTTCCTTGTTCAGTTCAAACTTTCCAAGTTTTTGTTGTTGGATATTGCACCCAATAAATGTTGTTTTGGAAATTCTAATCATTCACTTTTACTTAATACTCTTACTTTTTTTTCATTTGATTGTTTATTGGTATTTTTCATAATTGTTTACATATACAATGTACATGAACACTGCACTTTCAACATAACATAAACCTTAACAAAAAAAAAAAACTTTTGCTTGGGAGTTATTCCTCTATTTGACCTTTATCCCACCTAGTTTGTCCAGTTCTTTCTTTAGTTTTTGTTGCTGTCTTTAGTCCTGAATGTTGTCCATTTCATCCACTTTTCTTCCATTTGTGTTTGCTGAAGTCTCAAACGATGTGTCAGTTTTTCCATAATGTAGATTTCTTCTATTATTCCAGTCCACTGTTCTTGACAAGGAGGGTCAGCCTTTCCCCATTTCCTCGTAATAGCTTTCTTGCTAGCTATTAACATTATCTTAATCAGATACCTGTCTTTTACCCTCACTTTGGTATTGTTAAAATTGCAGAGATATAGTACCATGCTACTCATAGGAATATCATATCCCAAAACCTTCTTCACAGTTTCATGTACATTTTTCCAAAATTGAACAATTTTAGGACCGTTCCAAAATATGTGAGAGTGATCAGCGTTCATTGATCCACAGTTCCGCCAACACCCTGTGTTTGTATTCTTATATCTATTCTTGACTTTAGGCGTGATGAAAAATCTTATTAGATTTTTCCATGTGAACTCACTTCATATCCGTGAATTGGTGGATGTCTGATGTGTTTTCCACATGTCTGACCAATCTTCATCTGTAATTGTCATGTTAAGTTCTGATTCCCACTTTTCTTTTACATACTTAGTTGAATGTTTATTCATCATCAGTTTTGGTATAGAGTAGAAATGATTTTAATTTTCGGTCCACTGAATGATTTTATCACAATTTCAATCACACCATTCACTTCCACAGAGGGATCCCACTTGATTTCTGTCCTGTAATAGTCTCTCAATTGCAGGTACCTGTAAAATTCGTGTTTATCTAAATTATAATTGTCCTTCATTTTTTGAAAACTCTCCAGCTCCCCCTCTTTCTGAAGGGTATACCATCCTGTGACCCCCTTGCTTATCCATTGTTTGAACCCTTTATCATACATTGTTGGTTTGAAATCGCTATCATATGCCACCCATCTGAGCACTTTCATTTCTTTCATCTTTTGTTTTTTTTAATGTTTTGAACCATAATTCCAGTGTAAACACTGTAATTGGATCCAAGTATTTCTTGATCTTCTCATATCTATCTTCATTCCCAATAACACTTTGAATTGGGTATCCTCCGAACTCTTTCTCCATATCTTTCCACTTAGCTATGTGGTCTGGTGTGCACCAGCATATAACATGTCTGTGCTGAGCAGCACAAAAGTACTCCCTTAATTTTGGGAGACCCATACCCCCTTTATCTTTCGGTAGCTGAAGAGTTTCATATTTAACTCTAGGTTTTTTGCCACCCCAAATGAATCTTGATATTATCTTGTCCCAGATCGCAAAATGAGTTTGAGGGACCTCTATTGGTAATGACTGGAACAAATATAGAAGTTTTGCTTGCACATTCATTTTAAGTATTTCAATTCTTGAGTTCAGATCCAAGGACAAGGTAATCCATCTATCTATATCTTTTTGTATTTCTTGGCTTATTTTGTCAGAATTTGCTTTGTACAGTGTTGATAATCCTTTAGTAATGATAATCCCCAAGTATTTAATTTCCTTCATATTCCATTTGATAGGAAATGATTCCTGAATTTCTTTTGTTGGTATGTAATTGAGTGTTAGAATTTGTGTTTTTGTTATATTAATTTTATATCCCGAAAGATAACCATACTTTCCAAAGAGATTCATCAGCACTGGTAGCGATTCATTTGGTTGTTCAAGAAAAGTTACTACATCGTCTGCAAAAAGGCCTATTTTGTGTTCCTCTCCATTTACTATAACTCCCTTAATCTTGTTGTACTGCCTGTGCCAGAGGCTCTATAAAGAGGGCAAACAATGTAGGTGATAGACAGCACCCCTGTCTGGTTGATCTTTGTATGTTGAATTTGTTAGTCAGGCTTCCATTTATTTTGATTCTCGCTGTGGGGTGATGATATAATGTCTTTATACATTGTACTGATTTATTACTAAATCCAAACCGTTGTAACGCTTTATAAAGAAATTCCCAATTTACTAAATCAAATGCTTTTTCTGCGTCGACACTTACTAGTATGGTACTTTGTTTTTTCTGCTGCGCTTGATCTACTATATATGTAGTACTCTTCTAATATTATCATGTGTTTGACGTCCTCTCATAAAACCTGTTTGGTCTTCTTCTATCAATTCTGTTACAAAGGTATTTAATCTATTAGAAATAATGGTTGTGTATATCTTATAATCTACGTTTAATAATGAAATTGGTTTAAAATTGCCACAGTGTTCCTTATATTTCCTTGTTTTGGGATAACTGAGATTATGGCTTCACTCCATGATGGAGGTATTTTATTGTTATTGAGTGTCCAGTTGAAAGAAGCTGTGAGTACTGGCGTCAACTCTTCTCTAAACATCTTATACCACTCTGCCGGGTATCCATCCCTGCCTAGCGATTATTTATTTTTTAATGTTTTTATTGCCTCTTTCACTTCCTCTATTGTGATTGTTGCTGTCAGTGTCTCATTTTGTAGTTTGCCAATTGTTGGTAAATCTAATGCGCTTAAAAATTTCTTCCTCAAGTGCAATTTCAGGTTGTGTATACAGTTTCTCATAATATTCTCGAAAAATGTCCTCTATTTCCTCTGGCTTTTCTGTTAATTCACCTGTGTGGGGGTTTCTGATTTTATATATTGTATTAAGTGTTTGTTGTTTGCGTATACGTTTAGCTAACAATTTAGCTGCCCTTGAACCTGTTTCATAATAATTCTGTTTCAGAAAAGTGTTTCTTTTTTCAATCTCTCCCATTAATATGTCATTTATTTTGTTTTGAACTACCTTGGTTTCTTGGTATACCTTTGGGTCCTTTGTTTCTTGATATTCCTGCTCTAATTCCCCAAGTCTCTCCGTATTTGCCCTGTATGTCTGTAATTTAATTATTTTATCATGCGCAGTTTCAGCTATTAACTTTCCCCTGATGACTGCCTTCATGGCATCCCATAATATTGTCAGGTCTACTGTTCCATTATTATTTTCTTCAATATATTGTTTTATTTCTGCTTTTATCTTTTCTCTGTTGTTCACTATTCAATATTCCTACGTTCAGTCTCCATACAGTATTTCGTTTCCTGTTACTTAGACATATCTTTAAATAAATTGGATTATGATCAGAAACATCTGCCGCTCCTATCCTGCATTCCTTCACTCTGTTTGTCATCTACCGTGGTTAAAAAATAATCTATTCTTGAATGTACTCCATGAGCAGCCGAGTAATGCGTAAAATTTTGGATGTAGGCTTCTCCATACATCGATCATTCCCATCTCTTCTAATGAGTCATTTATAAATTTTGCTAGATGCATTTTAGTTTTTTTGTGACTTGTTGTGTCTATATTATGATCAGGACTACATTTAAATCACCTCCACAAATTAGAATTCCTTCTGTTTCTATTGCTATTAAATCAAATAGGTTCTTGAAAAAGTTTTTGTTACTCTCTGGGGGTGCGTATACATTTACCAAGGTTATTAATTAATTTCCTATTCTTCCTTTTACTATAATGTAGCTTCCTTCATCTTTTAATTCTTTTTTGTAATCAAATTGTATTGTGTTCGAAATTAATATTGCAACTCCTCTTCTCCGCCCCTCTTTATATGAACTGTAGTATAGATTCCTGTAGCCATACTTTTTTTAATTTTTCATGTTCTGTTTTGGGTAAATGAGTCTCTTGTAAAAATATAATTTGTGCTTTTTCCTTTTTCAGTTTTGTCATCACCCTTTCTTTTTTACTCTATACATTCAAGCCATTCACATTCAGCGACATTATCTTGATATCAGTCATAACTATGATTTATCAGTCTCTGCAAATATTCTCCCAAGCAACTCAAAACAAAACCACAATAAACTTTTGCTAACCCAACGTAAACCAAAAATCTGACAAACTTTCAACCATGGGTTATCCTTCATCCCCAAGTCCCTGTTGGTGGGTGGAGAGGAAATCCTCACCTCTACTGAGGGCCCCTCCCTAGATCTAGTACTACTCCCATCCTGTGGGGTACCACTCCATCTAGACATGTCCAACTTAAATATCTCACCTTCTCCCAGTCGGTTTTAATTGAATCCTCTTTTCCCGCCATAGCAACTTCTTCTGAAAACAGTACATTTTAAGATTTCCATTGAAAGCTTTGTAGTTTTTCTCTCACTCGGTATGCCGTGTCTCGTTCCCGTTCTTTCCCCCTCACTTGCTGCCACCCCGCGGCTCCGCGCTGTCTCTCCTCCGCTGCCACGGCGTTTCCTCCTGGCTCAGCAACGATGTAGCCCCTTTCCTTCATGTCCTGCGCTGCTGTCCTGGCACTGTCATATGTCTTTGTTCCGTTCTCCCATTGTATCCGAATTTTAGCGAGAGGTGTCTGGAAACGTATTCCTTTCTCTCATATCCTGATGCATGCTCAATTCCTTGCTCCATGCTCGTATTCTTTTCTCCTTCAATATTTTTTTAATCTCCTTATATGCCTTTCGTTTCTGCACAATCTCGGTCGGACAGTCGTGGTCGAAGTAGATTTGTTTACCCGCTACCTGGATCTTTTTCTGCCAGGCTTTCTTCAAGATCGTTTCTCTGGTCTCAAATTTTAGAAAGTTAATCACGACTGACCTTGGTGCTGCATTAGGGTTCGGTTTTGGGGTGAGGGCTCGGTGGGCTCGTTGAATCTGGAAATCGATCCCGTCCGGAAGTTCGAGTTCTTCCTTAAAAAGTTGTTCCAGAAATGTAGCTGTGGATCTCCCTTCTACGTCTTCTGGTAAGCCGAAGATTCGGATATTGTTTCTCCTTGTTCTCCCTTTGAGATCAGTTAGTTTTTCCTGCATTCGCTGTGTTTGTTCCACCATCTTCGTTAGCACCTCGTTAGCATCAGTCGTCCACTCCTCCACCTCCGCTATGCGTGTCTGTGCCTCGCTGATGTTAACTCGCTGTGTCTGTAGCTCCTGGCCATTCTCGGACAGCTTACGGTCTATTTCTTGTCGAAGATTCGTTATTTCTTCCTTCGTTTCTCTCTTCAGCTCGTCTTTAAATACAGCCAGCTCCAGGCACAGCTCTTGTGCTTTAATATCACCTCTAATGGCTGCGAGGCCATTTTGCAGTGTCTCCGTGCTCTTCCATTTCCTCTGCTGGGGCTTTTTCGTGTTCGCTAGCTTTGTGTTCTGAGATTTCTTCCGTTACAGGCAGCTCTTCAGTTCTGTCTTGCTTTTTATAGTTTTTCCGGCTTCTTTTCTTGCTTATCCCACTCATGCAGTAGTTTTATCTATCGAGTTCCAGTTTTGTTGTGGGCATTTTTACCCGACTCTGGAGAGCTAGCTGACTATGCTCCTATTCCCTCCGCCATCTTGCCGCGCTTAATACTCTTACATTAAGTACATTTTATATGAGAAATTTACTTGTGATACTTAAGTACATTAAATGTCAGAAACTTTAAGACTTTTACTTATGTAATAATTTTAAAGGAGAGTAACTTTTACGAAAGTAATTTTATGGTAAGATACTTGTACTTTCACTGAAGTATTACTTTGAGGTACTTTATACAAAATTGAATGTTTGTGACATCTATATTATTTTAGCTGTGAACAGTGGCCACAATCAGTCAAAAGGTCAAGTCTTTCATGTACAATCCAGGAAAAGATGGCTGACTGTGTGAGTCAGCAATAAGCGGCACCTTCTCAGAACTTACAATAAGACGAATGTCTCTGATTTCTCCAATGCCGACGTTGATCTTCTTTTGCTCAATGACAGGCAGGCGGATGTTGAGAAGATAGTACTTATGGGCCACACTCCCCAACTCCATGAAAGGCAGATGATCACAGTCGTAATACCGGCCTTCGTTCTCATAGGTCTGAAGGACAAAAGAGGACATTAACAGGGTTAAACACCTGCAAAAATAATTTGTAGTCAAAACCTAAAAGGCTTCTTGATATTGGCCTCTGACACTTGAGATAATGATTTTAGGTAATTTTATGTTTTGTTTGTTTTCACTGTTCTTACATCTGTTTCATGGATTTTATTGATTCTCTTTTCCTCCTGTCATGACGCTGCTAGGTCTTATTTATGCTTCTGGTCAGGAAGTTGATGCGGTGGTTTAAAGTGCATTTTTAATTAAAGGCCTAGAGTTCATTGAGGGAATGCATATAGCCCACCACCTTTCATGACAGAGTTTTAGACTGAGATCATCTTATGATGGAGTTACACGCATTATGCACAAATCTTGAAAATACAAATAATGTTTTGCATGATCTCACACAATATCAGTGTGATGGGAACCTTATATGCAAATATTCTTTAATTTCTTCCTAATGTTTGAAGCGTCCTAGTAAGGCTGTAAATTTCCAATGAAGCTGTAATTTGTTATCACAGTTGTAGCTGTAGTCAAAGCAAGTTCCTGTTGGCGTAAGGTTTGTGCTGGGAGCTTTGCTCCGAGACCTTGGGTCAGCGGCCCCACACACCTCAAGCCTGGTTCAGTCCAATCGAACCAAGATGTTGTTGATTATCTCCCCTGCATGTTTATACTGTAAATATCTCTGCAGCAAGACTGCTCCCTGCGCTCTGCACACTCTGTGTAACTTGTGCCTTTGTTTATTGCAATAAACATCTTAGACCATTTTTAAAAACATCCGTTTCTGTGTTGAGGCAATTTAGAGCAGAAAAATCCACAAGTCTTTTAGCACTCTGGGTATGAGTTGGGAATGACTCTCAGCTACCACCACACCAAATTTTATTTTAATATTTGCAAACCAAGTTATAGTCATTTATGTATCGACTAATGTTGATTATATATCATCTTGAATAGGATTGTAGTCGTACATCAAATGATTTAGTTCCAAAGGTTTCATAAAAATTCACCCATGAGAAATTTTGCTAACACAAGGACAGTGTTTCAACAGTTACTGACAGAGTTTTAGGATATGATCTTCAAAAGGTCGTGCTCAATATTATATATATTATATTATTATAGAGAATTGAATACTCCATATGTACTGTTTTCTAAGCTTTTTTATTGTTTTCTATTGTATGGGTGTACACATGTTTATGTTATGTTTTCATTTTTACTTTATTTGTGGGTGTACACAGGTCTTATGTCTTATGTAATGTTTTCATTTTTACTTTATTTTACTTTATTACTATTTGCACCTTGTGTCGAAGCAAATTCCTAGTTTGTGAACCTCGTTCATTGACATGGCAATAATAAACTGATTCTGATTCTCAATAATCCAGGCAAAAAAAATCCAACAAAGCTCAGTCAGGTCATCGGGATGGGTTCTTGTTTTGTTGAGACGTTTCATCCTTCATCCAAAGGACTTCATCAGTCTGAGGAGCCACAAACAAACTCAGTCCCACAAGCAGCACACGCACATAGTGGACCAACCAGTTTGCTGGTGCTAAGATGGTTTCTGGGGCCCGCCCTCTACCCTGTTGACTCCTCTGAGGCAGCCATACACAAAGTGGTTCAAAACATCAAAGTTCATGCTCAAAGAAAGTTTTTTTAGATCTTTAGACAGCAGCTACAATAAAGCTGACATTTATTGTGTGAGCACTTCATTAATCTGATTCTGCAAATTGAAAAAAAAAGATGTTTTACTATAAATGCAGCAGAATGTATACCGGCACTGTAATGACTAAACAATGTGCTTACATTTTACTTTGAAGTCAAAGGTTTTAGAAATTTGAAGGGTTACAATAAAACTGAAGGTTATTATGGTAGTTTGTTTGAAATATGACAAACTGAAACCCAAGCATGAAAAATATTAATGATCTAAAAATTTCAAACTAAAAGCTACCTCCCCGTAGCATCAACAGAATATTTTAATTCATATTCTAGTGTAACACAGCAGAGGTGCCTCTGGATCCTATAAGTGTTTCAGTAAATCACATCACTTTACCTTTGGAAGAGACAAGTTACAGTGGAGTTTCTTCTGTTCAAGGGAATGAGCCATCTCCTTCCACTCACTGAACATGTCATCTCTGTAGGCCAGGCCAACATCAATGGAAACAGCAGCTCCTTCCTCTGAAAAAATAAAATCATTATGACAGCAACAATTAAATCCAATAATAATCCAACACATCAGATCACATCTTCCACTCATTTAGGTACAGGTGCCAAAAATACATCATAATAATACTAAACAACTTTTATTGAGCTTCTGGAAAATTTGCACTATATGGTAAATAAACTGAATTGAAATTATTCTTAAACTACAAGCCTAGCAGTCCTTGAAGGAATGCATATCCTCCATCACTCGTGATGCCAGAGTTTTACACAAATATCTGATGTTGAAAAAGGAGTTATCGTTGTTTTAGTCAAATCTTGACCAATCAAGTTAGGCAAGAGGTCACGCTCAGAGTCTGTGCTGTTAATGACTCTCAGCTACAAGTTCTTTAGGCATTCTCAATAACTTTCTGAGTAGGAGGCTGGAGTCAGTTCCAACATCAACAGATGCTGTTTGGTGAAATGTTGGTGAATGTAGACTAAACACTGATCAATGATGGAAATGTTTCCAGCATCACAGACACAAACAGACTTATTAAGTCATAATCAACATCAGTTGTCGATCAATCTTGTACAACGAGATAACAAATATTTTCAATAATCTTTTAAAGAATTATTTCACAAGTTTTATCTTTATTCTTCATCTTACTACAGTACATGTAGCAAAATGTCCCTCCTGAATGCATGCAGCTCAAAAACTTCACTTTATTTGCTGTAACTAGACAAGATCATGAAATCTGATCGCCACTGACAGTTCTTCACCTCAGACGTACGTTCATTTTGTGCCAATACTGACCTAGGATCAAAGTTGGACTGGAGATTTATGCTGTAAACAACAAAATGATGGTACCGGTCCATACACAGTGAAATGAGGTGTACATGTATATGAACAGACACATTTTTTTAAAGTACAGCAAAATGTTTAAATTCAATAAAACCTTTATTGTTTAGCAAGCGGCTTAACATCTTCCTGTACGGCTTTTTGAGAATAGTTTCTCCAGTGTTTGTTGTATATGACAGAAAAGAAACAGTCCTCTCAACAAAATGAAATAACTTTTTATTTATCTAAAATGTATTTATATTTTTCATAATTACTGTAAACACATGTAAAACTATTTCATTCCAACTCTGTCTTGTGATTGTGACGATGACACATGATGCATCAGTCTGGTACCCGCTGTTGTTGTTGACAACAAAAATGTTTACCTGTCACGTTCAGCTGCAGCTTTCAGTTGCCTTAACTTAAAAGTTAACAGATAAAATTGTGTTTTAGAAAAAAATCACTTTAAAAGCTCTAGCTCTATAGGATCTAGTTCTATATATATGATCTAGATCTGATGGTCCAGGCCAGCACAAACTTAGTTCCCATAAATCCCACGCATCGCTCAGACTTGCCCAAGCATCTTCCAGGTTTCTGTGTTCTAGTTTTCTGAATCCAGCAGAGCTCTCTGTGTTTGTGCCAAGAATGTTTAAACAGGGACAAACCCCTGCCCCCTGTACTCTCACAGTACAGAATACTTCAGGGAAAGCGGTTGTAGTCCTTCTCCAGACCCACACACCTCATGTGGACTGCCGAGTCAAACTTCTTCCCCCTCAAGTCCTTCTCTATGGCCTTTTAAAATCCTCCCACACCAAAAATTTACGTCAGCAATCAAATAATCTTGCAAGATGTTCCATGTTTTTAAGCTCACCTGTCAAAGGCCATCATTTTATGGTTGATAATGTAAGTGTGCTGCTGCCTGCTGAAAGCCCACCTGTTGTCATCACACAGAATTAGGTCCTGGTGACAGCCTGTTTTATTACTAGCCTGCCACTGATGCTGCCCTTTGGAATCACAGCGTGTACTTTGTGTTTCCCTTTAACAACTAAGCAACAAAATGCTCATAGTCCCAGTATTGTATGACTATTACAATAATAGGGAAAATAATCTCAATTTATTTTGTCTTAAGTCTATTATTCATCTGAGAAAATATGTGGCCCTTCAATTTGAAAACAGGTTGAACAGTTGTATCTTTGGGCTTTTTTAAAGATATCGAAGTACATTCAATTATTCAGTCTGCTCTCTCTACAGTGACCCATATTTACATATTTTTTATGCTTCACATAAATCTTAAATAAACCTCAAAAAGGCTTTCAAGATCCCAACCCAGCGAGTTATTAACTGGGTCAAAGCAGATGGACGCTTGTCCTGAGCCTGGTTCTGTTGGAGGTTTCTTCCTTTTAAAGGGAGTTTTTCCTTTCCACTGTTGCCACTGTGCTTGCTCAGGATGGGAGACTGCGACGAAGCCAAGATTCAACTTGTCTGCTGGATTCATTAGATAGAGAACTTTACTAATTGGCTTTTATGTATGTGAATGTTTCTGTAAAGTGCCCTGAGACAACTTTGTTGTGATTTGGCGCTATATAAATAAACTGAATTGAAAACAGCATATTTAGATCACATTACAAAGCCAAGTGTTGCCTCCTCTGGTCCTCGTGTGCCTCTGGTGCTGTAATGCAACACACTGGAATAAACAGAAAGAAACTCAGGAGCCTGAGCTGAAAGAAAAGAGACAAAGAGAGAAGAAAGAGGACGGGGAGCCAGATGAGAACTGGCAGCAGAGTATCTCTGTAATGCCCCATGCTCTGCCATTGGTTGAGCAGGACGCCCTCAAATATCAGCTCACTTCATGCAGACATTCCTCACCGACCCAACAGCCATTGCCACGGAAACTAAGCCTTCTCAACAGATGTGTTTTAGCTGGACATTGGTGAAGGGGTGCTTGGTGACTGGGTGGAGTGGGGCAGGTGGGTGGGGTGGCTAATAAAGAAATGAACGTTGTTAGAAAACTAAGATAATTAAGGAAAAGACGCTTTTGTCTTTGTCTGCCAAACAGTTGCATTAGCCTCTTTGACACTGAGTGTTCTGGTCAGGGTTATAAAATAACTATTAGTAATATTAAGATGTATTTACATTTAGTCAGCACTAAATGCAGGTGTGAAGACTCTTGATATGAACTGAAAACTGCTTCACTCATAACCTTTCAGAAAGGGTTTGGTACACTAACCTGCATTAATTTGGTAGTTTGAACAAATTATTCTGAAGGACCATGTACAGTCCTGACATGACTACACATTAAAAGTTAAACCTGGAGGTCTCGTGGTTAATCATTTTATAAACTGTGTTACAACCAGGCTTGGCTGTCAGCCAATTTAAGACAAACAATCCTCCTTAGGAATATTCTGAAGAAATGATTTTGGGGCTGGCTAAAAGTTTTAATGAACTGTGAGAGGGTAGATTAATAGAGCCCACTGCCAAGACTCTGGCTACAAAAATACAACATGGCAGCCGTGGTGTAGTCTATATGATACGCAGGCATACAGAGTGTACCCACTATAAAAGCTTGAGAATTTCAGTACTTAAAAGTAGGGATGCACGATATTATCAGCAAGGTATCGGTATCAGTCGATATTAGCGTTAAATTTCAACATCGGACATTCCATTAAAATAACTCGCCGATATAAAAGGCGCTGTCTTTGCCTGCAGCAGCAGCACAACGCGATGATGTCACGTGCGTCTATCCAATCTCATGGCGGAGAGGAAAATTTAAAATGTCGGCGTGTGGAAGTTTTATTTTTCGTTGGTGAGGATGACGGATTCCGAAGATTTATGGACTACGTTGAGCCTCGCTACATCGTCCCCAGTCGAAGATATTTTTCCAACGTAACATTACTCGAGTTACAAGCCGTCATTTCCGACGTCATTGAGAAGCTAATAGCTGATAGCACAGCTTGTTGGGTGAGTTTTACCACTGACATTTGGACGTCGTGTTAGCCCCGTTAGCATGATTAGTCTTACGGCACAATGAGACAAAAACTTTGATCTTAAGAAGTCTGTCCTTCATGCACAGGAGTGCAGAGGATCCCACACTGCAGCTAGGAACCTGGAACAAGTCTCCACAAGTGAGACAGCATCACAGCTGACTAATGCTAATAAATAACATTTAACACTTTTCATTTAATATAAATTGAAGTTCTATGTATATCATATGGCTGTTCCTGAAGACTAGGGGTGTAACGGTACGCTAAAATCACATTTCGGTTCAGTCCAATTTCAAGGAAGGCTCGGTTTGGTTAATTTTCAGTACAAAAAAAGACTAAATAAAGTCTTACAAAACGTTTATTTTGAAAATATGCCAAGTAAACAATACATTTGTATAAAAATAAATAAAAGTGACCCATTTGGATGATATTTTAAATAACGGCACTCTTTACAATAAATAAACTATGCTAACAATAAAAATCTTAATAAATACAATAACAGTCAGAACCAGAACAATAAGCAGCAACTGTTTACAGTCTAACTAGTCAAGTTTTAAGTTTTTGACCAAAAAGACCAACTTATCCACATTTTCTGCCAAAAGCACAGATCTAGTTGCAGTGAATATCTCCATCGGTGGAGGAAACTGCTCACTAGCAACAGCAGCAGGAATAGAGAGGTAGAGCTTTGATAATTTAGCAGTGTGGCTGGATTTGGCCTCATTACTCAAAACCTCTTGGACCTGCTACCACCTGTTCCTGGAAAAGTTCAGAGTTCACTCATCACAGACTTTTTAGCTGGAGGTGATCTCTGGTGGATTTCTCTGAAGAGGAAGACTCAGCTGCTATCTCTGTCCCAGACTGGAAATAAAACACAAAGAGGTAAAAAAAAAAATAAGTTAATAAGATTATAACTTTAAATTTACAAAAGTTAATTAGATAATCACCGATTCTGTTCATAACTTTTATGGACAGAATTTCTAGGTGCAGCCAAGGAGTTGAGGGGATCCGTTTTGGTGGCCTTAAGGATTGCGTCTCTGCTTTTTCCAGATGATTGGCTTCATCATGATCTACAGCTTTCGCTGGAGCGGTTCGCAGCTGAATGCGACGCGGCCGGGATGAGGATCAGTTCCTCCAAATCCGAGGCCATGGTCTTGAGCTGGAAAAGGGTAGAGTGCCCTCTCGGGTCAGGGAGGAGGTCCTGCCCCAAGTGGAGGAGTTCAAGTATCTTGGGGTCTTGTTCACGAATGAGGGAAAAATGGAGCGTGAGATCGATAGGCGGATATGTGCAGCGTCTGCAGTGAAGCGGGCGCTGTACAGGTCTGTTGTGGTGAAGAGAGAGCTGAGTCAAAAGGCGAAGCTCTCAATTTACCGATCGATCTACGTTCGTACCCTCATCTATGGTCACGAGCTTTGGGTTGTGACCGAAAGAATCAGATCACGGATACAAGCGGCCGAAATGAGTTTTCTCCGCAGGGTGTCTTGGCTCTCCCTCAGAGATAGGGTGAGAAGCTCGATCATGCAGGAGGGACTCAGAGTAGAGCCACTGCTTCTTCACGTTGAGAGGAGCCAGTTGAGGTGGCTTGGGCATCTGGTTAGGATGCCTCCTGGACGCCTCCCTGATGAGGTGTTCTGGACACGTCCCACCGGGAGGAGACCCAGAGGAAGACCCAGGACACGTTGGAGGACTATGTTTCTTGGCTGGCCTGGGAATGCCTCGGGATTCCCCCGGAGGAGCTGGACCAAGTGGCTGGGGAGAGGGAAGTCTGGGCCTCCCTACTTAGGCTGCTACCCCCACGACCCGACCCCAGATAAGCAGAAGAAAATAGATGGATGGATAATTAGATCATAATAAAAGAACAATACCTCTTCTTGAACGGTTGTTATGAGGTGGTTGAATCTCTCAGTCATCATCATCATCATTAGGGCAGGGCTTTAATCTGGTCCAGGGCTTGTTGATGATCAGTTTTATCTTTTTCATAAAGTGCTGCTACAACTTTTTGGCTGAAGTGTTGACGTGATGTGATGTCGTAGCGAGGCTCAAGAACTTTAAAGCCGGCACATCAACAACAGAAACGTAGATCTAGAGCTTTAAAAACTCCTACTTCTTGTGTTATTGCTCTGGACTGTCTGAATTACCTGATAAATGTTGTTTAAATGCTGCGGTTATCGCTCTTTGCAACAAGCTGCTACAAGAGACGTTCACGTTCGGATGATGTCGTTTCAAGAGTGTTAACAAGTTAGACGTGTTGCTGCGGCAGATCCAATCTCCGTGAAACAACGTCGACACACAGCTTTGGATTTGTTCACTTGTCTTTTAACAAGAAATCCATAATGTTCCCAAACAGGAGACCACAACGAGAAGCTAATGCTAATGCTGCGCATGCTGCGAGATTATAGCGCCATGCTAAAACACGCTTAGGAAGTTTAGTTCCGCTGCACATAATCTCTCATTAATAAAATTTAATGAGTGAAAAAATAACCAAAACGGTTCAATACACCCACGTGTACCGTTACACCCCTACTGAATAGATGTCACCAGCTCTTACAGCCGTTGAACAATTTTTGTAGCACATAAGTCTAAATAAGAGGGCTATGTTCTGACAAAGGAACGTATATAAAATATTGAGATTGGCATCGGTTATCGGCCGAATAAGTTTTAACATATCAGAATATCAGAATATCGGCCAAAAATCCAATATCGTGCATCCCTACTTAAAAGTGTCCAATGAAACATGACATATCATTAGACATGTGTCAATGATACGTTAAACTGCAGTTAAATGCTTCTGTAACAATCTATCTGTATGCAGCACTTGTTTATTACATTCACTTATCCAGTGAATTATTGTATAATTCATATTTCTGTACTTACTACTTAATACTTGAACATGTTTTGCTTTGATACTGTTTTATAAATTCTATAACATGTTTTTAATACAAAACCAACTGTTGTGCAGTTTGTTGTACATTTACTGAAATATAAACAGATACATTTGGAAATGTTCAATATGCTTAAAAAAATCAAAATAAATTGACAATTACAAATGTAGACTACACCACTGCATGGCAGCAACCGTAAACTGCCAGCTTCAATTTTAAAGAAGAAAGAATGGCAGAGACACGTCCTTAATTTTTACTGACCAAGACAAATTTATTTATTCTGTTTCATTAAAGAAAGTAAAACCCTCGTGTGACAATGTTGACCTGGCTTTCCTCTTGAAACTAGTTTTTCTGTAGCCAATGCTGATTTTTAGAACTCAAGGCCGCTGATTATCGATATACAACAATTTTTTTTATTTTGACCAATGTAAAATTTTTATTTAACAAAGTATACCTTCTCTACAAACACAATATCTGTGTCTACAAATCATGAATCCACCATTTGTCCAGTAATGATGGTCACAACAACTGAAGACTAGATTATTTACTTTACCAACCTTTAGACATTTAAATTATCCACCAACACACAAGCATGTGCGCACACACACACACACACAAAACTGATGTGGCTTTGCTTTTGACTGAGCTCCAACATGAGCCAATGCAATATTTAATCTACCAGTATAAGCAAAGATTTACTACCTAATCAATTATGGTTGGTAGCTGAATCACTGAGTAAACATACCTGAACTTTAACAACCATGTGTTTATGTTTTATTCCGAGTGTGTTGCTAATTACTTTTATTAAGCTTGGTTTGCTTTACCGTAACTTTGCAATAGTTTATGCTATCAGAAAAAATCTAAAAGCTGAGAAAATGCACTTTACAACCAATATACTTGTTATGGCAACCTGACTCCTGTTGTTGCAGGAAGCCCGTGAAACACCTGCTCTCTATCCTTCTTTTCACACAGACACAACATGAACAGGTAAATATGTCAATAATAAATAAATTAGTCGTCAGCATCTGGCAACAAGATTTGGCTGCATCACTAATTTGTTTGTCAATGAGCCAACCTGTAAACAACTCACACGCTTGACACATTTCCACTGAAGCCAAGAATGTGAGCAGGGAAACAATCCCAGAGACTAACATCTGCAGAGTGCTTTGAGTGTTTAGAGCAGCAAAAATTATCCAGATAAAGCAAAGTTCATGAAGGATCACTTCCTGGATTTAGCAAGAACTTCTGAAGCACTTTACATACTTTTCTTCTGACAAGCATATTAATAAAATCCTGATGTTTGATGAGGATAAAGATAACAAACAGGACTCTCTTTGTTGTTTTGTTAATTTTCAATACAAAAATTTATTCCACCAAAATAAAGATGACATTTAACATAAAATAAGAAAATCACACAAAATGCCTAAAATAATTGACGTCCAGGAAGACATCTTGCAAAAAAATTTAGACTCCTTGCAAAGTTGCAGGAACTGCACTTGAATTCATGATTCGAATGATTACAGATGGCAAAGTGTGTGAATAATTCTAAGAATATCTTAGTCACGATGTGAGACTTTGCAAACATCTTATCTTAGATTGAGAAACTAAAAAAAAAATCCCTGAGAAAGAATACTGACGTAACTCCAGATATGGAAAAAATGCAGCAGAGGCAAAGCAAGAACTTCTGAAGAACTGGTAGTTTTAACAAACCAACTTGGTGCCAGTTCATTGCAACCTCCTTGTTCTGTTATGGCCTGAGGGACGTCATGAGGGTCATTCAGTCAGAAAAACTCAAGTTGCCTTGGTTCTTACCTATCTGGTTGTGCATCTTAAATGCAATGTCAAACTGCAGGATGACCAGCATGAACTGGAACCACGGGCTCATATCCATGTTTTGCATTGGAATGTGGACGGCGAATACAATGTTGTTAGCCTCGATCCTCTTCGCCTTTGCTTCATCAAAGGTCCGGATCTTTTCACAAATGTTAGGACCCCATGGCATGAACCACTTCGTTTCTTCTCTGTATTTGCTTGTGTCCACACATTTTGAGGCCAAGTAAGAGACTGAAGCCGTGGGGCTAGGAGCTGATGAGACAAAGAAGTTAAGGGTCAGATGTTATAGTTCTGAGATTTTAAAAAAACAGTACTACTGTTGATCAACTCTGCCTGCAATGTTAGGACAGAGTAATGAATTACTTATTCATGCATGTGTGTGGCAACAGGCATAGGCAGGATAAGGACAGAAGTGTTCATTAATTAAATTTAATTAGAGGTGTAATGGTATATTGTAGAAGTGATGATCCAACAATGTTCAGTCAGGTCATCTGGATGGTGTCTTTTTTTTTAGACGTTTCATCCTTCATCCAAAGGACTTCTTCAATCTGAGGAGCCACCAAACAAACTGAGTCCCACAAAAACCGCACACTCCCATAGTGGATAAAACAGTTTGCTGATGATAAGATGGCCTCTGGGGCACACCCTCTCCCCCGTCAACTCCTCTGAGGCAGTCATGGCAAAGTGATTCAAAACACCTTGCTCAACAGTCCTTATTCCAGAAAAAAAGAAACCGTCCAGATGACCTGACTGAACATGGTTGGATTTTACCTGGATTATTGAGCATGAACTTTGGTGTTTGATAGATGTTTTGGATGGGTACAGTAAAGTGACTACAAATTTGTTAGTCACAGGTGATCATCACTCCCACAACGAGCATGTTTTATTTACCAGTAATAGCATTTTGCTTACAGCCAAGACAGAAAAGAAGCCAAGAAAGATAATGTCATTAATTTGCTTTATACAGTATGTATGTGAATGTTTCTGATCAGTGCCTTGAGAGGACTTCTGTTGTGACTTGGTGCTATATGAAATGAAAAAAAAAATGAACTGAATTGAAAGATACTCAGTGTTTCCCCAACCGTTATCCAAGGAGGGCACTCCACCCTGTCAACAGAAACCAGTGTCCTGCCTACAGAAATGTCCTTCACCCACAACTCGGTTTGTTTTATTTTACCAGTATACAATAGTCCCTCGCTACTTCGCGGTTCGTTTTTTGCGGACTCGCTCTATCGTGGTTTGTGTTGTACAGTGTACAGCAGTCCAAAATATTGTGCATTATTATTTTTTACACACGATTGTGGACTGTACAGTAATATCACTTTACAGAACTCATGAAGCTGTGAAAAAGTTATGACAAAAAAAAAAAAAAAAAAATTTCGGACAAGCGCCGCCATTTTGTAGATTTCTTTCGTTCACCCCAACTGTTCTGTAATCACCACTCATAAGAGCTACACTGCCCTTAAGCCGATGCTGCAGTGCCTCCAACTGGCCATTGTTTTCTGCAGAACTGTCCATCCATCCATCCATTATCTTTACCCATTTATTCCATTTTGGGTCACGGGGGTCGCTGGTGCCCATGTCCAGCAATCACTGTGCGAGGGGCGGGGTACACCCTGGACGGGTCGCAGGTCCATCACAGGGCCACATAGAGACAAACGAGACAAACAACCATTCACTCTCTCACTCACACCTAGGGACAATTTAGAGTTACCAATCAGCCTAACATGCATGTTTTTGGTCTGTGGGAGGAAACCGGAGTACCCGGAGAAAACCCACGCATGCACGGAGAGAACATGCAAACTCCACCCAGAAAGGCCCCTGGACCGGGGTTTGAACCAAGGACCTGCTTGCTGAGAGGCAGCAGCTCTACCAGTTGCGCCACCATGCTGCCCCTTTCTGCAGAACTGTATTTTTGCAAATCGAAGTCATGACTGCTGAACCGGCCTTTCAAACCTAAAATTTAATTCATGTCACATAGAAAAGATTTTTTTTTTAAAGAAAATTCAACTTTACAAAGGTAAGATTCAAAAGAAAGTGTAAATCATGTGATGACATGTCTCTTTAAGAAACAGAACGTTGACCTGGTGACCCGAGCGCTGATTGGCCGTCAGCTCTGTGTTCCCAGCTGCTGACTGGAAGTTACCATCTGTTTACCATCGCTCTTTTTCAACTAAACTTCAAGTGGTACTACTGCGTTATGTTTTCTAAACATTCTGTGTTCAAAAGTTTCTGACAGTGAACCGAAATGCCAGAAATGCTTTGTAACTGAAATGCTTAGTAACCTGGGCACTGATTGGCTCAGTCACCGTCAGCTCTGTTTAACCCGGTCGCTGATTGGCTGTTAAATGGACTGTACCTATATAGCGCCTTTCTATCTTATTTCAAGATACTCAAAGCGCTTTACACTACAATCTGTAATAAAAGTTACGGTAAGTAAGTAAGTGCTATATGTTGTCATCATTGTATGTTCCCATACAACGGCAAAATTAGTTCTCTGCATTTAACCCATTGTACCTGGGAAGCACCCAGGTGGAGAGGTGGGTAGTTATGTAAACACCCAGGGAGCAGTTAGGGATTAGGTGTCTTGCTCAGAGACACCACATGTGGGAATGGCTGGGGATCGAGCCCGGGACTATTGGGTCCCGGGTCGGCTGCCCTGCCTCTCAAGTAGGTCTCTCTGCAGACAAATATGGAAGGCGTATCTCGAGGACCACATATGATTGGACGATAATCAACAAGGCGTTACTCGAGGGCCGCATCTGATAGGGTGGGAAAAAAACAAGGCGTTATTGGCAGAATGTGTTAACCACAGACATATTAAGTCTATGGTGTTAACCGGTTCGACATTGGCGGCATCTCCAGTTCGACATTGGCTGTGTCTCCATAACTTCTCGTTCCGCCTCTCTTAACACAGAACTTCTGGTTACATTTCAAAATAAGAGCAACATAAACGGGTATTGGGGAGGGCTAAATGTTTTTTTTTTTTAATACCTAGCCATTACATTAAAAAACAAAATATGTTTTGGTTGTTGAATAATGCGAAAATAGTTACAATCACTTCATAAATAAATAAAAATAAGTAACCAAAATAATAATGATACTTAAACTAGCTTTGGGACAAAGGATGTTACCTTTAACCTCACATTTTCTTGTTCAACCTTTTAAGGTTGTTTTAACAACTGATAGTCCGGTAGACTCGGTTCGGGACCAATATTCATTTCATTTTGTTTACATTTGAGCTGGTGCGTTTACATTCACACTGCACTGTGCAGTCGAGTCAACCTGTTGAACCAACCTATTCCCCTGCTCGCCTGTGGGGGCGCTGCACCAAGAACTACTGAAAGAAACTACACAAAAACCTCTGAGGAAGACACTTCTTCTTCTTCTTCTGGAAATAAAAACAAAAACGGAGTGGCGTCAAGTTTTAGCAGTTTTAGGAGTTATATTTTGTCATTTTTCAACAATGGACTCAGCATGAGTGGAAGATGAGGCAGAAGACCATGGAGAACGTTGTTTTTCACACAAGGCAGCTGACGGCTCCATATGAGGTCAGAGATATGCGTGTTTGTTTGCCCTGCGTTGTAGTCCTCTTCCTGCTTGCGGAGTGGTGCCCGTTCTGTTTACATTCACACTGTACTCGAACCGTGCTCGAGTTTTCTTCTACCGGACCGAGACCTAGGTTTTAGCCCGGGCCAGAGTTCGATGGCGAGTTCACACCTCCCTAAACGAACCGGACTTCATAGGCAAACGGGCTAGAGTTCGGGACAACAGCGCTGCTGTGAATGTACCATAAATCAGTCACTGTAGATGAGTGATTGTCAGTTTCTGTAAGATTTCTGCAACTGGAGCAGGTGTTTCTGTTTACTGGTTAACTTCCTCAGCTGTCTCAGATGTTAAGGGTCAATCCTACTCCATGTTTCAGCTCCTTTCATAGATCAGATCTCATAGAAGAGCTCTTCTATAGAGCAAATTTTGTTTTTAGCTTTTGTTGTGGGCCATTACTCGTTACAGGACTCATGATCTTTAATTGAGACCAGACTTTTTGACAAATGGGAGCAGAATTTGCTTCAGATGCTTCAGATTCATTGAACCCAGACCACACTCAAGCCAACCTGTGTCAGGTGCAGCCTACAACTTAAGGACTAAAGAAAATCTTCTTGTGTCTGACAGCAGATATAACACTGTTTCTTAGAAATCTTCAGTTTTAAAAAAGAGCTGATGTAACTTACATAAAAAGCCAACAAATACAGCTAGCCAATCAGTGTTTGTCCTCTACAAACGCCTATTCTCCAGAAATGCCCACTTTTGGTCTGCAGAGAGCCCCTTCTCCTGCCTCTACCCAAGCTCGGCCCCTGAGATCATATAGCGCCAAGCCACAACAGAAGTCATCTCAGGGCACTGAACATAAAAACTGATTAATCATCCATCCATCCATTATCTTTACCCGTTTATTCCATTTTGGGTCACGGGGGTCGCTGGTGCCCATGTCCAGCAATCACTGTGCGAGAGGCGGGGTACACCCTGGACGGGTCGCAAGTCCATCACAGGGACACATAGAGACAAACGAGACAAACAACCATTCACTCTCTCACTCACACCTAGGGACAATTTAGAGTTACCAATCAGCCTAACATGCATGTTTTTGGTCTGTGGGAGGAAACCGGAGTACCCGGAGAAAACCCACGCATGCACGGAGAGAACATGCAAACTCCACCCAGAAGGCACCTGGACCGGGGTTTGAACCAGGGACCTGTTCGCTGAGAGGCAGCAGCTCTACCATTTGCGCCACCGTGCTGCCACTGATTAATCATTCACCCCAAAAACAAGTTCCTCCTAATAAGGAAAGTAATACAAATACATTACTTCTAACGCTGACTCAGCATTCACATAATAACAAATATGCAAAACAGGACATATCTAACATAAATAGTCCCAGTAATCTGAAACCCAGGTTGAATTCATCCATCCATCATCTGTTACCTGCTTCTTCTATCAAGAAAACCTGTGAATCCAGCAGCACACTGACCCCTCCAGCATCCACTGCAGTGTGTCCAGAATAATAGCGATCCCATCGACCTGCCTGACCTCATGACGTGCTGCCGTGTTTGTGGGGCAACAGGGGGAGAAAAACCCCTTTGTTCTCAATTACCCCTGCAGTCCCTGGCCACAGAGCAAACACAAAGGAATCTGGCTTCATTAAAACCATCTCAGCCAGGAAAGAGCCAAACAGGCTAATTTATCAGGAGTGT